CCGTTTTGACATCTCTAGGTGCGTGCTCGCGGGGACCGTCGGGCTTGGCGTCGCGTGGATGAGAGAAGGCGCGGTGTTCGGCCGAGGAAAATAAAAGAATATCTCTCGCTCTCTCTCTCTTTTTGAACGATGGAAAAATAAAATCTCAATAGGGAAGAGTCTTATGTAAAGTGGTAAGATTTAGGAGACATGGGAATAGATTAGGAGTCTTCATCTAATTAGGAGAGGATTTATTTTGCTTGGAGGATAAGCAAAATACATGGAATAAATCCTAGATGTTATCTTTCCTCTCTTCTCAAAATCACGGCTAAGGCAATGAAAGGAGACCGATTATTTGCTAAAAAAAATATCTTATATTAGTATTCCTTCTCTTTTAATGCTCAATTCATTAATTAAGTTTAGATTAAGGAGATTTAATTAGGAAAATTTAAATAGATGGGGACATCTAATTAAATTCCATTTATTCTTCATTAAATAAAAATTATTGAATGAGGACACTCACTAGAACATCGAGCTCAACCGAAATTAAAATGAAACATCATAAATCATTAAATTAAACATAATAAATATCCATGAAAATAATACTACGCATAGAAATGAACGACACGAATTTGGGGTGTTACACCTATTCCCTTCAAGCTACCAAAATTCCAATCCGATGAGAATATCGTGTCCCTAAGCGAAGCCGCGTGGGGTTTTGCCTTCACCGGGGAGATGGCTGCTATCTAATGATGAGGGGGTGGTCGTTTTTTGCCATTTGCGTGGTATTTTTTCTTGTCGAAGAAGATATGGGGAAAATTTTGAACAACTTGAAATTCGAGAACTATGGCTTGAAAAGAAAATTGCATGTAGAGGAAGTGGCGTGTAGAGAGGTTGAAGAAATCTCAATGAAAAAAAAAAAAAAAAAAAAAAAAAAAAAAAAAAAAAAAAAAGGTTGTAAGAAGTACAAAAGATATCCAACCACATTAAATCCTTCTGTTACCAAAAAAAAATAAAAAAAATCACCCTACCTAAATAATAAAAGTATATAAAAGGTGTGACATTAAATATGTGTATATTCTGTAAATGTGCAAATATTTTGTGTAGTAGTTACACTTTTGCAAATAAAATATTATGCTAGTATTTCTGCAATTATTTTATAACATGTTCGGTCATTGAGTAATTTTCTCAAAAAAAAAAAAAAAAAAAAA